GTTTTGCGTCCGTGAGCGAGCATCTAAAGAACCGAGGTGCAAAATAAATCAAAATATTCAGATTTTTCTGCCACGAGGAGCTAAATACCTTCATTACAGCCTGATTCAGGCTCCAGAGGCCACTATGACATTTTAAACATCCAAAATAAAGTGACATTATCAGATCGAATCTAATTTTGGGCCAATAGTTCTAATATTTCATATTTTCTTCAAGTGCTTGCTTCTCATCAGGATGGAAAACGTTCGAATGGAGCGACTGGAGCCAGAAATGTCGTTTCTGTGGCTTTAAAACAGCATTTAGGGAAAAAATATTTAGATTGTTTCGAGCCTTCAGCCACAAGAGGCCTTAAAAGCCTGACTGTGGCTCCAGAGGTCGGTGGATCCTCTGCAGGTGGAAAAATACAAGAAATTAGGTTTTTGTTTTTTTAAAAAATCTAATTTGGTGCCAAAATGTCTCTTAGTTAATATTTTTCCTGATAAAGATTGAAAAATGCTGTAATGGTCCAACTGGTGCCAGAAAAGTCCCGTTTCTGTGGCTGTAAAACAACGTTTAAAGAACCGTGGAGCAGAACATCCGTTTCTGGTGAAGAGAACCATGGAGTGACGGAACACTGGAGCCCAGAGGCCGCACAGGGTTCAAATCATTAGTAGAGGGAATTGATGTGTTTGTTTATTTTAAGTCTAATTTGGTGTCAAAAATGTAAATATTTAATGTTTTCTTTTCTTGTTGGAGCAGAACCCGGTACTGATCCAACTGGTGCCACAGATTCAAAGCTTCAACTGCTGCGGTGTAAAATAAATCTGAATATTGTGAATTCTCTGCCATGAATCAGCTGAATCTCTTCTGAACCTTGGTTTGGGTTCCAGAGGCCGACAGGACGTCACCAGATCACCAGAACCAGAAACGAGTCAGTAAAGAATCTGGTCTGATGTCAGGATGTGAATGTTTCATGTCTGCGGGAGTGTTCGCTTCATGTCAGAGCAGAAACTGTCACAATGGTCCAAGTGGTGCCACAGACTCATCAATACAAAGCAGCTGCTGAGTTCATCCGAACCCGGATCCAGTTTCTGGAGGTCACGTGATATTTAAGATCAGAAATTATTACTTCAAGAATTATTACCAAAGAATTATTATTTTTTAATTGGTGTAAATATCCTCATGTTGCTCATATTTATTGTTTCCTGTTTAAACAGAACGTCCAGATGATCCAGCTGCTGTCCGACATGAACAAATAAAAGCGGTTCTGAGCTGCAGCGGAGCATCATGGGAAACTGACGGCCGCCCACAAACACACCGCGGAGCTCGGACACAAACAACAACAACCAAAATAACAAACAACAACAACAACCAGCAGACATCAGCAGCTTGTGACGGACCGAGCAGCGCGTCAGTGCGCAGCCGCAGAACCAGCGAGAAATCATCGACCAGAACCAGAACCAAACCAGAGCTGGGAAAAAAAAAATAAAAAAGTCAAAACCAGTCAAACTGCAGCGAGCAGCAGTCCGGGCTGCAGCTGAACAGCACCAGGATCTGCGGGTCCAGGTCCTCTCCTCGTCTCTGTGCGTAAAATCCACGCAGCTGATTGATCACCAACAAACCGTCAGCGCGTGACTCTGCTGCTGCTCGGCCTTCAGCACAGACACACAAACTGCAGCCGGGTTAACCTCCGACCCGCAAACACAACTTTTACAGAAGCAGCGGAACCGAACCGAGCAGAAGCTCGTTTCACGTTTCAGCGAAATAAAGTGAAACAAAAACAGGAAGCAGGATTTGTGTGATTTCAACAAACAGAGACACAAAATAAAACACATATATAAAAAGAGACGTTATGACCTTTGACCTACAGACAGTGAACGCACCACTCAGTCACGTGACGCTGATTCGCGTTAATATTATTTTTATTTGGACGTTTAAATCAGAATCTACGTTTGTTTCATTCACGGTTTTCTCACTGTCAACGGAAATATCCACAACCAAAAAAAACAAATACATTTGATGCTGATTTGTTTCAGAAAACGTTTAAATTTGCTGAAAAATAAAATAAATTATAAATAAATAAAACAAATCCGTATTTCAGTGTTTAGTTTCAGTTTCCTGTAAAATCATGTTTGGACCTTTAGGTTCTGGAGCTCAGAGAAGCTCAGTGTTCAGGTCCACTCATGTAAAGGTGATTAAAGCATCTGTGGACATAAAGTGCTCCGATCAGCTGCTTTGCTCTGTTTGCTCTGGTTATTCTGGTTATTCTGGTTATTCTGGTTTAATTTGTTTATTCTGGTTTATTCTGTTAATAATGTTTTGTTGTGTTTTTTTTTTCAATCAATCAATCAATCAATCAATCAATCAAATTTTATTTATGTAGCACTTTTCATGTGCAACAACAACAACGCAAAGTGCTTTACAACATTTAAAAACAACAAAGCATTTTTTGTTTGTTTTGTTTTTTTGCTTTCTTCTCTTTATCGTTTTTTCTGGTTTAATTTATTTATTCTTGTTTATTTTGGTTTATTGTGTTTATTCTGGTTTTAAGGCTCATATTAACAGAAACCAGAGCATCCAGTTATGATCATTTCTCTTTATTTTCCCTCTGACTTGCTTTAAACTGGATCTGCTGGTTTCAGGTGTTGAAAGATGTTCTGATTTAGAACCGAGGACAGATGTGAGAGCTTCAGGATCCTCTGGTGCTTTTTATTATTTAGATTTAAATCACAAAAAACCATCACGTGTTAAAAACTAATTCTTGGCCAAACATTCATAGAGAATCCATAAATAAACGTTTTAACGCATCTGTGGACACTTCATGCTCCTGAATTAATTCACAAATTAACATTTTTAATATTATAATATTTTCAGATTTTAAAATTTGATGCAAAAAAAATTCTCAGTATTTAATTTGTTTTTGTGAGTCCATTGACTGAATTTGACTTTGACTTGTTCCACGAGGACGCGCAGAAGCTCAGACTTACCGAAATACATTTAAATTAAATCAGAACTAACAGAAAAAAACGTCAACTCGGTGTTTTTCTGCCTCTCCTCATTTTAACGGACAGAAAACGTGAAGCTGCCGAAATGTTGGATTTAATTTCCACAAGAACAACGAGCGGAGACAAACATCTCCACGATCAGCTCAGCCAGAGAACCGGCCTAAAGCTGGAGGCTCAGTGCGCGGCCCCGCGGCTCCTCACGCACGAATATTCACTTTTCTCAAATTAAAATCCCAAAACACGTGTTTCTTCTTCTGGCTGAGCATCTCCTCTTTTCTGATTCAACTCCTGAAACCTGAAAAATACGCAAAACCACAACGAGAAGCTGCGCAGCCTGCAGCGCCTCCGCAAAACAGCGGCTCGTTTTACGGCTTCACAGCGAGATCCAGAACCAGGGAACAGGACGAGCTGCAGAATCAGGACTCTGCGGACAAACCGCAGCTCTGCGTTTAAAGTGCAGTTTAATGGACCAGACTTGGGGACTAAACACAGAACCGAGTCTCCGGTTCGGTGTGACGCGGAGACGTGATGGCTGCTGAAGTCTCCTCAACACCCCGAGAATGTGCCAAAGTGCAGAAAGAAAGACACGAATTCAGCTCTAAATGTGACAAAGCTGCAGGTTCCAGCAGAACTGCAGCAAAACCACGAAGGACCCAACAGAACATGGAGACGTGAGGAGGCGGCAGAGGAGCAGGTCTCATGTCTGCTCAGAACACCACAGAACCAACATGGAGCCATCGAATTAACAAAACCCCAAAATGAAGCTGAAATCTGCTCTAAAAATAATGTTTGGAGACATTTTTCTTTTTCAATAATCAAAGCAAAGCAGGAAATAAAGAGAGAAGATGAGCGAAGCGCAGAGAACATGAGAACACAAACAGAGCAAACACAAATCACACGAGGTGAAGAATCTCCTGTTTTTGGGTTTCAGCTGTCAGATAAGAACCAGAGAACCACCTGCAGCTGAAACCAGGATCAGACCAGCAGCAGCATGAAGACAGAACGTCTCCTCACCGTGAACATGACAGATTGGACAGAAACACGCACCAGCGTTTGGCCCGAGTCCAACAAAACGCACAAATTCTGAAAATCTGAGGAGAAAATTCTGCCTTCTCTGACAGTTTGAACGAGAAAAAAAATCTCCAGCAGCAGCAGCACTGAAACTAAAATAAAGGCAGCTTCTAAAAGCAGAGTGTTTACAGGCTTGATGCGTAAAAAACAAACCAGCTGCAACAAAAACAGCAGAAAGAGGCAAAGAGACGAGACCAGCGCTCAGATTCAGCCTGAAACCCTGAGCCTGAGTGGAGAGAATGTGTAAAATGTGAGTATTTATGGACTAAAAGTGACTAAAATAAACCGTAAATAAACCAAGCAGCCGCTCTCACAGCACAGGAACACACACAGACGCAGTGGACGCGCAGGTCTGAGAGGCCAAAGCGCAGCTGCTGCGAAGTTTGAGCTTAAATTAACACATGATGTTTAAATCAGCGCAAACATGACATTTGCGGGGGATTTCTGCGAACAAACTGAGAGTCCGCAGCCTGCAGCGCCTCAGATTTCACTGTTCAAAAGGAGAAAATGTCACAACGTGCAGCACAAAAAGCGCCTCACACAGTCAGTCAGGCTCCAGCAGCCTGGACGCGACCTCTGGTTGCATCATTTGACACAGTTTTTCCACACAGACGCGCGTAAATCTTCCTGCGTAAAAGCTTTACGCACAGGAGCCGCGGCGCCTTTCTGCGCGTAAACACCGAGAAGCAGGCACACAAACAAGTGGATTATTGATGTTGGAGGTAAAATGCTTCTCTGCTCATGTTTGGAAACGACTCACAGTGAAGAGTCTCATTTTTTTTAAAAACAAAAACAAATTTAGGCTAAAATCTAGAAAAAAAAATCGGCTTTAAAAACTAAAACTAAATGTAGAACCATTTAAATTAAAGCTACATTTGCATTTGTGCTGATAAAGAGAGGACACGGACTGCAGCAGGGAAAGAAGACAAAAGCATCTGCGTTAGTTATGAATGTAACCTATTCTTTTATTTTTATTTTTTTATGATTAAAACATTTTTTTCTCTTTTTTTAACTTTTGTAAGCGACAAACACGGGAATAAGAATAAGACCACAATAGTATCACAACCATGAAAAATTGTTTTAGAGACGACAATTAAAGGACAATCATTCCAAGTATATTAGATAATGAGGCATCTTTTCTTCTGTCAAACAAACGGGTTTTTACAGTGTTCCTCCTTTTCTACAAAAGAAAAAGAAAGAAAGAAAAGCAAAACTCCAAATTACAAATAGACATTTTCTCTCTGTTCTTTTTTCTTTTCTTTTCTTTTCTTTTTAAAAACTAATTATACAAAAGAATAAAAGAAGAAGAAGAAGAAGCGTGAACGTCCGTGTTTAGCGGCGAACACGTTTACAGTCAAAGAAGCACATGACAGGCTGCACTGCGGAAAATATCCATGAAAGCAAACGAGACTCACAATTCAGCCTGAAAATCCGGCTTCTCTTCTGACAGATGAGGAGTTCAAATTCACGCAGTTTGAAAAAGAAAAAAACTAAAACTAAAACAGGCGAATTAAGGCAAAGTCCCTCCAGAGCACCAACAACGCGGATCGGCGCCACCAGACTCTCCGGCCATTTAAGAAAATAAAGTGATTGCAAAAAAACTGCAATAAAAAATCTCGTTTAAATGGACATTTTCTGCAGTGAAGGAGGCATCGTTCACGCCTTCATACACCCATTTACTCACTCATCCGTTCACTCACTCGCCCCTTGATCCCGCAGCAGGCCTGTCGCGGTCTGAATACTGACTCTAAATATCCTACAAACCGATTCTTTGGTCTATAAAAAAGTACATTGAAACTTGGAACTGAATGATGGAGAAACAGCCTCAGGACTTTGAGCTGCAGGAGCTTCGCAGAGTCGCTTTTTAAAAAAAACACATTCACTGTATAGAAAATAAAAAATAAAAAAATTAGTGTTTAAATTTCGTAAAATAAAATCACTCTCCGCCGCTTCTCTTCTCACCCGCATGAGACCTGATAATACTGCAAACATGCGGGCAAAGCCGGCTATTAGAGATATTATTATTATTATTTTTTACCTTTTTTTAAATCTCAAAATTAGACAAAACTATTTTAAATACACATTCTATAAAAGTAATGCCTCCTCCGACAAGAACACAACAGAAGAAATCAGCTCTCAGCATCCTCTCTGTTTTATCTCACATTGCACGTCGCTGACTGACAGTAAGTTACAGACAAACAGAGTCACAGACAGTATGTACACAGAAACCAAACTGCAGGAGAAGATGGAGCAGAAGAAGAAGGAGAAGCAGGAGAAGAAGAAGAAGAAGAAGAAGCGATAATAATAATAATAATAATATTAAAAAATACCTGGAAACTTCAGGGCTGCTTTCTGTCAGTTTCTCTGTGCTGCTCTTTTTTGTTTTGCAGTTTAAGTCTCTCCTCTGTTCTATAGTAGGTAGTTTATAATAATTCTGTCACTTTTTACATGTAAATGTTCACCGTGAAATGTTCAACTTACAGCTCCAGTCTTTAGATTTTCACTCCTTCGGCTGGAATGAGGATGGAGGGATGAGGATGGAGGGGAGAGGGGAGGTGGAGGGGTGAGGCTCGGGGTGTTAGTGTATAAGCGGGTTGGAGGTCGAACCCTGGTTCTGGTGCGTAAAATAGTCAGACAAACCCCCGGAAAGTCCCGAGGAGAAGGCGGGCAGAGAGCCGGACAGCGCCGGCCTCAGAGAGTCACAGGGCAGCGCGGAGGAGGACGGAGCCTGCGGGGAGTTGGAGGCCGAAGCCCGGGCGGCCTGCAGGGAGCCGCCGCCGCCGCTGCCGCCGCTCTGCGTGCTCATGGACGGGTGCGGGACGTGGGGGAAAAAGTAGCTGGTCTGTCCGGCCAGCAGGTTGACGGAGCACGGGTTCAGGGAGTAGGTGGCCCCGGAGCAAGGCACGGAGAGGCCGCAGGGCACCGCCGAGGCCGCCAGGGCCGCCGCCGTCAGGTGGTGCGTCGCGTAGGGGAGGTCCCCGCCGACCAGCCGGTCCATGCTGAGCCCGTTGGAGGACGGGAACGACGAGTGGTTGTTGCTCATGTTCTGGGTCAGCATGGTGCTGTAGGACATGGGGTGGCCCGGGTAGCCCGACGACGTGCCGTTGTAGCCCAGCGCGCTGCCGGCCCGCGGGTGGTGCAGCGACAGGAAGGGCGACATGGGCCAGTACAGCGAGCCGGCCCGGTCCATGAAGGTGAGGCCGGAGGTCAGCCGGGCGCCCCGCTTGAAGGCCAGCTTGGCCCGGGACGTGGTGGAGCGCCGCCGCAGCTTCCCGGTGGTGCCGCCGATGAAGACGTCGTCGCTGCTCGGGTCCAGCATCCAGTAGTTGCCCTTCCCCGGGTCGTCGTAGTGCCGCGGCACCTTGACGAAGCACTTATTGAGGCTGAGGTTGTGCCGGATGGAGTTCTGCCAGCCCTGCTTGTTCTCCCGGTAGTACGGGAAGTTCTTCATGATGAACTCGTAGATGCCGTTGAGCGTGAGCCGCTTCTCGGGGCTCTGCCGGATGGCCATCATGATGAGCGCGTTGTAGCTGAACGGAGGCTTCTCGTACTTGCCGCTCTTCTTCTCTCCGTCCTTCCCTCCGGCGCCGCCGTCCGCCTCCTTCCCGTCCTTCTTGTCCTCCTGCTTGTCCTTCTCCTCCGGGCAGCTCTCCGGGCCGGACGAGTCACTTTTAGGGTCCGCTTTGGCGTCCGGCTGCGCGGCCGGGAGAGGCGCCTTCTGATCGGCTTCGTCCGCGCCGCCGGGCCGGTGGAGGTGGTTCTGGTGGTGGTGGTGGTGGTTCTGGTGGTGATGCTGGTTCTGGTGGTTGTTGTTGTCGCTTTGCACGGCCTCGGGCACCAAACTGTTTATACTGAACGACGATTTAGGAATCATTTTCACCTCTTTGCGCTCTCCCATATCCAACATCACCGGGCAATGAGGGGGGAAAATGGCAACGAGCGAAAGCGATGAACACAGCTGGGTTTCAATCTGTCCTGTCTCTGCCTGCGAACCAGGACGGGAAGGAAGGAAGGGGGGATAGATAGGAAGAAGGAAAGTATAGCCCAACAAACTATTTCATGTTCGGTTTGGGGAGAAAAAAGGAAACACACACACACACACAACACACATGTACACACACATCGATAGGAGACAGATAGCTGCAATTAATTAGGGAGCCGCAGCCACTAAAGCAAGTAAAAAACATTGGTTGGACCTTTCCAGTCCTCAGCCAACCAGGGGAACATTAGTATTAAATATTAAGGCGTCCTCTGCGCTTTCAGCCAATCATGACGCACAGGGAAACACACACATCCACCAATGCCGTGCACGCTGCAAAAAATGCCCTCCTCCGCGAGTCTGCTGTCGGCTGCTGGAGTCTCAGAAATCTGAGTTTGATCGAAATAAAGCAGAAAATGTGGCAGAAAAGATCCGCGTCCGGCCTGTTGGTGTCCACGGCGTTTGTTTGGGGAGTTTGGTTGAATTTTCAGTTTGTTCGTGTTGAACCTGGAGCCTCCAGCTCCCGTTTCAGACTCATTTGGAAAAAAAAACAAAACAAACAACACATTTGGAAAATAAATTAAACTGACTCAGAAAAACGGGGATTTTTCTGCCGTGATTTTATTTTTTTCTCGGTTTTTCTGAAGGAAAACGAGACTTTGAGAGCGCCTCACACGCCCAGGTGCCTCTCCAGCACGGACACTTTTTGCAGCGTGCACAAACTCACCCCTATCAACACTCTGCCTCCCCCTCCAGCCTCCCCTCCCTCAGACTCTCCCCCACCTCCACCAAAAAACCGGAGCTGGAAAACACACACCGTGCATGCGTAAACCCAAATCCCCGCCGCTCCTCATATTTACACTCCTCCGATTCAAATATTTGCCCCTTCGGCGTCTCCAAAACTGTTTACATCCCGGTTCACAGGAAAATAAACAGAGGAGAGGCGATCCGGAGGGCACGCGGACACGGCCGGGACACGCGGAGGTGATTCTTGTGTCAGAGACGCGCTGCGGGCTGTTTGTCCGGAGCCGCGGCTCCGTGCGTAAAATACGCGCAGAAATGAGGCGTAAACACGGTGTCATGTCAGCGCGCCGCTTCCAGGAAGGTTCGAGTCGCTGCTTTACTTTCCTCTCGGCGGAGCAGAATTTAGCAGAACAAATGAACCGAATGGAGGAAACAAAAACAGCGAATGTGGAGCGAAAAAAAGACGAAGAACCAAAAAGTCAAACCAGAAGTGATGCACAGATTATTTTACTGAACATTAAAGCAGTTTTTTTAAATCATTCAAACCATGAAACCAGATGGACTTTTTAAAAAAATTTTTTTTTACACTTTTCTTTGCTAAAAACATTTTAAAACCTTCAACACATTCACTACAAACTGCAGCTTCGTCCTGCTGCTCTGAGCTCCTGACGGCTCTGAGGCTCTAAACCCGCGTTTTTATTTATATTTCAGGTTTTTATTTAAACCTAAATTTAATTACACATTTATAAAATTAAAAAACACATTTGGGAGCGTATTTAACAGGCTCATATCCGGGTTGTATTTTTATTTTATTTACACTCAGCAGATTTAGATTCGAGACCAAACAGAATCTGGCTCCAAACAAGTAAAAATATAATTCATTTTAAATTTCATCTATTTATATAACAACATCTAAACATGGGATTTAAATATGTCAGTATTTACTATTTACTACACATTTGTCAGCATTGTGTGGATGAGTCCTCTGTGGCCATGAGGAGCAGGACTCCAGCAGAGATCACACTCTAAACATCTTCACATATTTTTATTGACACTGAAATTCAGGAAAATGTCAAATATTATTTTTAGGATTTATTTCATTCATGCAGATATTTTCTACAACTGCTGTTTCCACAATAGCTGCGCTGCTGCTGCTTCCCACTCAGTCACTGCTGTGGTTCCACTCAAAGTCCGCAGCTGCTGCATGTTACTGAAACAAACTGTTTGGTTCTGACTCAGTGTCACCAGGACGAAGCGGGACGAACTATTATTAGCAGGAAGCAGGATTTAATGTGTAAAAAAACAGAACCAAGGACTTTCCTCCATGCGAGGAGGAATCCTGAAAATATTCTGTTGTTTTTCAGGATGCAGCAGATAATTACCTGGAAAACAAAAGGTGTGAATTTTACCAAACAGAAGCTTCAGGACGTCATTCCACCTTAAAGCGTTTCATGGAGACACATCCTCGCACAACAGCTGATTTAACACGTTTAAGGTGGAATGACGGACTCGCTGTCACACTGATGCACAGCGAACGTTTGATTTTCATTATTTAACATCAGCGGAGCAACAAAGTGAAGAAAAACCCGCAGCAGCAGCAGCGGCGCGCATCCAAACACGCAAACCGGTTCTGTCCGCAGCGCGCATCTCTGTGCAGAAATCAGAGTGACGCTCAGAAAATTCGTCACATCAGCAGAGAAACTTCTTCTCAGCTGCACATATTCTGAATTTAAAGCCTCGGGGGGACTCGGACGCGCTTTTACGCACCGAAGCAGCGCCTCGGAGCCGCTTGAGCTTCACATGAAGCCGCAGCTCAGAGCTCATCTCCGGCTGCAGGAGAAGCGGCTCCGAGTGAAACAGGCAGAAAAAAGGCGTTCATTAAAATATAGTTTAGTGTGAAGTGAAATGATTCAGAGCAGAATCAGAAAAACGAGAGATTTTAATTTGTTCTGGAAGGTTTGGACTCATTCAGAAGAAAATAGACGTTTTAATAAAAATATTCTACATTCGTTTGACTCTTTAGTGGTTTATTTAATGTTTTAGAGGATTTTATAAAATAATCAGAGCAGTTTTATTTGCTTTAATTACGTTAATGTGGATTTATGTGATATTGGTGAGCTTTGGTGTGATTCTGATTCCTAGAAAAATACAAAAGAATACATTTGCTGCAAAAAAAACAGGAGCTTTTTAAATGCACCTACTGTAATCCTTTATTATTATTCTTATTATTCTTATTATTCTTATTCTTATTATTATTTCGCTGTCTGCAGCTCTGCACAGACACATCTTGTGGTTGGTTCCTCTGCTTTTGGCTTTTCCGGAGCTTTCAGCAGCATCTCCTGGTCTTTATCACGAGCAGTCAGCTGCTGCTGGATATGTTTTAAATATTAATGCTGGGAGGCTCGTGTGTGTTGCTCAGGAGCTCGTCGGCAGCAGGAAGCAGACAGCAGCTCTCCGTGTTTTTTGGTGCGTAAAAACGAACATATTTGGAGAGCGCCGGTTCTGTGCGTCACGCTGCAGGCTGATGGAGCTTTAGGTTGTTTGTTTTGCAGCTCCTCAGTGACTCCCAGTGAACCGAACATACTGGTTGTTTACTGTTGTTGTTGTTTTGCTCGCAGAAGCTGCGGATGTGAGTCTGGACTGTTCAGCTCCGCTTGTATGTTTTCCGTGTTGCTGCTGTGTTTCCTTGTTGTGTCTGAATGTGTTGAGGTAAATTCCTGCTTGTGTCTGTCGGGCTGTGAGACTCTGCAGCATCCAAACAGACCTGAGGAGGAGGAGGAGGAGGAGGAGGAGGAGGAGGAGGAGCTGCAGAAAAACCTCCATCAGCCTCAAACCTGCTGCTTTGTGCTGCGCGTCCGTCCAGAAACATCTCAGGTCCAGGATTTAGGAAAGCTTTGAGGGGATTGGGGCTGAAGCTGGAGCAGCAGGTGGATCCATCTCAGAGTAGCAGAGACGGGTTCTGAGGATGTTTGGAAAAAGAAAAGATGTGCAGAATTAAATCCAGAAAATTCACAGTTTTTAGGTGAAAAGACTCAGATTCAAACCAAACCAGGCTCCATTTATTTTTTCCTGAATTTTACATGATGACTTGGTTGGAGGCTAAAATTAGGATTTTATTTCACAACAAACTAAATATGATTTGGAATCTTAATATTGATGAAAACGCACATATGAGCAGCACAAAAGTTGGCAGCAACTAAAACTTCAACTCAAACCACACAGACATTCACATTTTTCACTGTAACTAAAGAACAGAAAGGCTCATGAACTACTGAGACTCTGGACCAGACTCTGCTCATGTTCTTCTGGATTTTAAAACACACATTTGCAAAGGATGAGACCTGAACTAAACATTCAGATCAACCCAAACCAGACTCCATTCACTCTCTCCTGAATCTCCACTCTCGTCTCTTGTTTGAGGAGCTAAAAGCTGAGATTTAATATCAAACCAAACCAGACTCCATTCATTTTATTTTGAATTTAACCGGATACTAAAATTAAAAGCATGCAAGAGGTTGTGTCTCTATCCAAACAACAAGTCAGGCCAAACCAGCATCCCTTTACTTTTTTTTCTGAATTTTAGAGCCTCACCTTTTGCCTCTTGTTTGAGGAGCTAAAAGCTGAGATTTAAAATCAAACATGACTCTGTTATTTAGGCAGAAGGTGGCTGACAAACAGCTTCACCTACAAACCACACAAACATTCCAGCCTGCAGCCTGCAGGACAGAAAACAGGCCGACTGAGCCACACTCAGCTCATTTTCTTCTGAATTTTAAAACAACTTAAACACACGACTGTACAAAGTGAAGGATGGACCTGAGCAGCAGCTGGGGGTTCACATCAAACCCAACCAGCCTCCATTTACTTCTCCTTGAATTTAAACAGACAACTCTTGGATCCTGTTTGTGCTGCCAAAGACTACACCAGACTTCATTCATTTTCTTTGGGATTTACCAGTTTGGGCTGAAACTGCAAACCACACCAGCGTTCAGATCTGCAGCAGGAAGACTCAGAAAGACGCTGAGACTTTAAAGGACCCCAAACCGGACTCGGTTCATTTTCTCCTGCGTTCTAAAACCCAACCTGGACACACAGATCTGCTCCGTGAAGGACCAGAGATGCTGGATTCCTCTGGCGTTGGCTGAAACCAGACTTTACTTTAAAACTTTTTACAGCTGCTTTTATTTCAGGATGAAAATACAGAAACTGTTTTACATTTACAGCCTCCAGGTGTGCAGAACCATCACAGTTCATCCAGATTTTGTAGCAGATTTAAACCTTTTTGTGCAACAAGCGAGTAACAGAAAACATTGAGCGCTTTTTGCTTTAAACCGTGACTTCATGCTACATCAGCTGAGTTTAGAGACGTAATTATTCCTGAGGAGACACGTTCAGGTTTAATTTGAATCAGAGCTGCAGAGAGAAGAAGTCGACCTTCGACCCGCAGCTCGGCTTCATAATTAT